TGGCTGCATTGTTGTGCAGCTTGTGCCGAGAGCTGTGGAGAGTACAGATGCTTGTCGTTTCAAGCAAAGACTCACTTGAGGACGGACTAACTGGAAATGGGCCAATCGATGGAGTGCCTTGAGCTTGCGGATAATCTCACGAATACCTCCAGCCCTCCCTTTTCCAAAACATCGCTGCTGTAAACAATGGTGATGTAATGATTTATTTTGTCACACTCATTCCAAGTGGAAATTATAAACATTCGTCTATGAGAACAGAGGCATGACTTTCATAATAAGAGTTGCATGATAAGTCATCTCCTGGTAATAGCGGCAGGGTCTCCCTTTAAAGAGGCAGTGAATGGATATGGGGCGCTGCAATAAAGATGTGAACAGCCCCTGTGAGGGGGAAGAACCTTTCTGCTTGGTACGCTACAAGCTTTTGGTAATTACCAGAGTGCCAGAGAGCATATGAATAAATTCATGAGCTCTGACACAGGTAATTAACTCATTGTTTAGTAATTAGAGATCAGGAAAAAGAGAAAGAGAATGAAAAACAGACATTTGTAGGAGATGAAAAACAAATCAGGAAGGGTGAGAGGACGAGAATAACAGTAAAAGGAATTAGGGATGTCAAAAGTGCCAAAGTCAATATTAACATAAAATTTTTTTTAAATATAAAATAAATAAATATAGAAGTGAAATCTAGAAAAACTTATGAATATATAAAAAAATATATAAAAAAGGAAACTACTTATTTTAATTACATACCTGCTTGTCAGCCAAACTTGCAGTTAACGTAATATGCACTACCGTTTGGAATCAGTGATTTTTTAAAAAAGTAATTAATACTTTTACTCAGCAAGGATGCATTAAACTGATCAAATGTGACAGTAAAGACATTTATAATGTTCTTTGAAACTTTCTATTCATTACAGACTCTTGGAAGAAAAAATGCTTTATGGTTTCCACAAAATGAAAATGAGCAGTCTCACAACTGCTTTCAACATTGATAATAAGAAATGTTTCTTGAGCAACATATCAGCATATTAGATTAATTTTATAATAATTTCTAAAGGATCACGGGACACTGAAGATTGAAGCAATGCCTGCCAAAAAAATTAGCTTTGACATCCCTAAAATAAATCCAGCTCAAATCAATATTCATCCCCATTTATTTGGTTTGTACCAGTGTTGTAGAGAGATAATTAAGAAGCACTTGCTTTAATTTTATTTGTTAATATTAGTATTAATATTTAATTTATAATACAGTTGCTAAGCTATTATCGCTAAATTACCCAACCGTGTGTCCAGCATTCTCATGGTACATTATCCCGTTTTAAACATGGGCACAAACCAAATAAATGGGCATGAAATATTGATTTGATGTATTAGTATGTGAGAAAAAAGAGACTGTGGAGTGATACAAGAGACATAAAATGTATACAGTTGGTACAATGTACAAATTGGTTTGCCGGTCATTAATCAAGAACATTTGACCACAAAAGTTAAATTTTACACAGCCAAGGAAAAATAGCTATATACCCCACTCCGCTCACATACTCGGTGGTACTGATAGCAACATGTTCAAAATTTTACTATCGACTTGGACCAGTAGTACCAATACTTTTGACATCCCTATTGGAGCCTAATAAAAAAGGTTGAGAGACGTAAAGGAAAAGGATGCTGAAGAACGACACCGAATGAAGGGGAAAAATAGAGACTGAGTGGATTTCCATTTAGACCGATGAGGGGGGGGACTAGAGGAGAAAATGAGGGAGTGTGAAAAATGACACCAGAGGCAGAGAGAGATCCCTGTCAGAACTCAAAGCTGAACAGACACTCCTGACGGGTTTATCCACGCACCGCTGGGCCCGACTATAGCTCCACCAGCATCAGTTCCTGTCCCCACAGACACACTACATGGATACACACAGCCAATCCCACTGAAACATCATCTCACACCACACATATCACATCCACATTCAGCCTATATGTGCACTAACATGCTCTGACAGCCTGGAAGCTTCTTCCTTTCCAAACAGGAGCTGGTAGTCAGGATGGGAAGCAAAACGAATTTTAACAACAGAATCTAAACTATTTATACTGCCCTGGCGCTGAGAGGAAAGACAACTTGTGAAGGATGAAGATCAAACCTTCGATGAGGAAAAGGTGAAATACTTATGACGAACGCGACTAATGTGATCCTAACATGTTTCTGTGGCAAAAAACTTTCTGAAGTTTGTGGAATGACAACATACACTACATTTCAATAGTTTGGGGACATCAAGAGTTGTTGTTTTTTTAAGAAATTAATGCTTTTAGGATGCAATAAATTGACCAAAAGTAACAATAAAACATTTATAATGTAAAAAAAAAAATGTTATATTAAATAAATACAAATATTTTTATATTGAATAATATCTCTCCTCTGTCCCCCTCTACCACCTTCCACCAGCAATAAATTGACCAAAAGTAACAATAAAACATTTATAATGTAAAAAAAAATGTTATATTAAATAAATACAAATATTTTTATATTGAATAATATCTCTCCTCTGTCCCCCTCTACCACCTTCCACCACTTCTATAACAGCTGATGATTTTGCCACATTCTTCACAGACAAATCTAGAACAATCAGTAGTCAATTCTCAGTCCCCCACACACAGGACTTCAAATCAACCACACCCACTACTAAAACTCCCATCTTCTCCTTCTGTCCCCTCACTGAGGCAGAAGTATCAAAACTTCTCCTCTCCAGCCATCCTACAATATGCCCTCTGGACCCAATCCCCTCACACCTTCTCCAAGCAATCTCTCTCTCCTCAAACGTGCTGTTTGAATTCTCCGCTCAGCATTCAAACAGCACGTCACGTTCAGTTATGACAGTCAGCACAGTAAAACTCTCTCTCTAAGATGATATATATATTCCCATTATAATACTTGATGTGTAGATAAAGGTCTGGGGATTCGCATAAAATGACATTTGCTGGAGTTGATTGCTCTCTCATTTCTCTTCTCTTTGTTTGTACCGCGTGGAGTGCAGAGTTGCGACTCCATGATGCTTCAAGTGCACCATTCTGCACCCTGGATGTGCATAAGAGCTTTGTGCCACTCTGTTTGAAGCGTTTCACATTATCAAAGTTTTGCACACAGAAAATTTATTAGAAGCCTTTCTTTTTCTCATGATTTCTATCTTATTTTCATGAATGTATTTTGTAAGAATACAAATAGTTAATAGAATAAACATGTTTAAATTGTATAATGTGCACCAAAGATTTTTTTTTTAAGATGTTGTTTTTGCTGCTAAATTATACCGTCAGCTAGTTTAATTTCAAAGCTTATATATTTTTATTCAAATGTAGTTTTTCTCTGTAAAGAAGTTTTGATACTTCTGCCTCAGTGAGGGGACAGAGGGAGAAGATGGGAGTTTTAGTAGTGAGTATGTAGTGGATTATGTTTAACAAAGGGTTTAAAAAAAGAGTGACCATTAGTTCCACAAACACAGTATTGATATTCTGTGGTGTAGAAAAAAAAATAGCTGGCTTGGCCGATTCTTAGAGTTTGGAATACTCTATGTAATCTTACACTGCAAAATAATAACTCAAAAAAGATTAAAAGATAACATCATAATTATTTACTGAACCCTTAAATTAATCACAATTATATAATGAAAGCCATAAAAAAAACAGTCAATTAATCGTGATAATCGGCAATTCGGCATAATGATCATAATCGCCAAAGCCCTAAAACAGATAATTAATCGCAATAACTGTGACTATTTCTAGACAATTAATCGTCAGCCAAATTTCATAATCGTGACAGCCCTATCAAATAGAATACAGTTATTTTAAACTGTAAAAAATATTTCACAATATTACTGTTTTTATGATATTTTTGATCAAATAAGAGCAGCCTTGGTTGGTAAAATATGGTGAAATGCGTTAGAGCTGAAAGTACTACACTATTATTATCAGAAATTGAAATATTTCACAAATTGATTAGTCAGACTGTCTGAATGACTTGTCCTTTATCATTAGGGGTCACTAGGCCTGGTCACATGCATTTCTTATGGGTCACTCATATAAGACATTGCCTTCCATTCAAAAAATAGCTAGCTCAATACTAATATTGACGCATTTTGAAACCAAAAACATGGAGACTTCTGACCGACATTTAACAAATAAACAGACTAATTATCCACCAGTAATTGCTCTAAACCATCACAGCTTGCCAGAAAACTCGTTGACCAGCCTGCTCATCCCTAATTAATCACAGCTGAAAGTATGATGAAATTAAAGGGATTGTTCACCCAAAAATTAAACTTTTCTTTTTTCATTATGTCATTCTAAAGTTGTACAACTTTATTAAATAGAACACAAAAGAAGACATTCTCAAGAATGTCTCACTGTCATTTTTGTCATGTCAATGGGGTCTAGTGAGAAATATCATATTTTGTGTTTAACAGAAAAAAGTCTTAAGGGTTTGGAAAACAAGAGGATGAATAATTTTATTTTTCAATATTTGTGTTAAATATTCCTTTAAAATGGAAACAAACATGGAGGCACAGACAAAAAAGACAATAAAACAGAGAGGATTCCAGACAACTATGTGATGACAACAAAGACAACTGGAGGTAGGAACAAATACCAAAACAGTGAGTGGAAAAAGAGGAAGTACAGTGTTGAGTCAGCAAGTGAAAGAGAGATAACAAGTGATCGAAGTATAGCAAGAAAGAAGAAGAGAAACGTAGAAACTTAACGTATTTTCACGCAGATGTGTAATGAGGCTGACCTCACGCCACCCGTCTTTACACACAACCGCTACTGAGAAAGGGACAGAAAACATTCCACGTTTTTTCCAGTTGTCACATCTGTCAGAAAACCCTACAGGCAGAAGACAACACACAAGTCTCTCTTTCATAAGAGGTCTATTGCGAGATCTGTTTTGAAGTTGAGGTTAAAAAAGCTTGACCCAATAAAGAATGATTCTTGTGCACAAGCCAATCCAGAAATGTTGAAGTGAAAGTAAACCGCTGTCTTACCCAATAGGATGATACAGGCGGATCTTGACCAGGTAGAAGGTTCCAATGTTCAATCGGAGAGAAGAGTCCAGATGAAACCACTGGGACGGGGATGTATAAATCTCTCCTCCTGCTGTCTGAGGGGACAGCTCGTGATTCCCACTCTGTCTGTCCACGTCTGAGTCTGCCTGGCTCCAACAACCCTCACCATTCCCTGCCACATACAAAAACAAAAGAGGTTTACACTTAGACAATGAGGTCCGAGTGGCTGTGCTAAATTATATTACCCTATATTGCACTGCTAGACCAGAACTAAAACGGCATTTCTTAAACAGAAATTAGTGTTAACTGACTATATACAGTATCAATTTGAGAAAAATATTAGTAAGATTTACCGTATAATAAAATAAATGTGTTCTGAAATCCTCTTATAATCCCACCATTACTCCTCTTGAATATGTAACCAAGGTAACAGGGGACTAGTTGAGAATGTACTTTAAATAGTTTCAGCCGTATGAACCAGCGAGATGCCTTAGGGTAGGGATTTCCTTTACTACCAAACTATTATCATCCATCGAAAAAAAATAAAAAAGATCAATAATTAATCATTCAGTTAATTAGTCAATAAATCAATCAAGAAATTGCTAATGTTACCCTTAAACATATTTTCATAAAATTTTTTATTTTAAACACGTGTGTGACATATACTACATACACAACCATAGGGTTCACTTACATATCTAATGTGACAGTAAATAAATGTATAATGTAACAAAAGATTTATTAAAAAAAAAAAATAAATCTATTCACAGAAGAATCCTGAAATATTCTGTTTTCAACACTGCAAATAATGCATTATTCTTAAGCAGCAAATCAGCATATTAAAATGATTTCTAAAGGATCTTGTGATACTGAAGACTGGAGTAATGATGCTGAAAATTCAGCTTTGACATCACAGAAATAAGTTTAAATTGCAATAATATATGTGACATTATTACTGTTTTTACTGTATTTTTGATCAAATAAAGACAATCTTGGTGAACAAAATCTATATGTATATAATCTTTATTAAATTAACATTTCTCTGATTTCAAGCCAATAATAGTATTTTACCACTAAGTGTACATTCCTCTACACAAAAGCTTTTTTCCCCCCTTAAATTGTCCGACCTCTTGGTCCAGTTTAATGGTTCGTTCCAGGGCTGAGCGCTATGAGGAAAGGCTGTTTAATCAGAATCACTCTCCTGGTCTCTGAAGCTCCTGGGGGAGACCGCATTCACAAAACAAACATTGGACACTATTTATATCTGCCTGTCGACATGGCAACCACTCTTTGTTTGTTTGAATCAGAAACTATTTCTCCTTTTTTCCCCCTCAAATGTTTCGCTTCTTGCTTCAAAGCAGGCGCTGGGACTTGAGACACTCTTGTCTCCATTTGCTCTGGTATGTTCCTTCAAAACAAGGGCAGGGTGAAGGTAATGCTCTGGCAAGACGATACGAGTGCTTTTGTGCATTTGTGTACGAGCTACTTGTGCTCTTAAAAACTGCTGTGTCAAATCTATTCTGAGTAAACCACAAATTAATCTTGTTTAGATGCCATCACCCATGGCAAGAGAAACCAATTTTAACCATAATGTATAAACCATTCAAGACTCGGAGCGACAAGCAACGCAACTTACATAATACTCACTGTATAAGCTCAAACAGCTTATATATTTCAATAATTTGCAATATGCTCCAATTATATTGTTGTATAAATGGCATAATTAGTAGTTAATTCCCTCACTGGTGTGGTTCATGTTTAGAAGTCTTTATTACAGAATGATTTGAAATTCCTATGGAGAAAATGAATGAGATTTACATGATCTGTACTGGAGCCTTGAGTCCACTGAAAGCAACAGTTTTACTTCTACAACACTGAAGAAGGGCTAAATATTTATGCAAATGTTATGACATACACACATGCATACCAACAGCTATATATATATATATATATATATATATATATATATATATATATAGACAGACAAATATACTCACATATAAACCATCATCTTTCCTTGTCTTAGCAGCGCTGAATTTTGCTGACTGTTCAAAAACACAGGAAAGAATACTAAAGGGGTCATATGATGCGATAGCTGGTCAATCAGAGCACACCTCGCTTTTCAGACTGATGAGTTTTGTAAAAAATTGACGCGTTTCAGAAAGGCGGCGCATAGAGGAGAAACAATAATGTACAGTATGTGGAAAATAATGTGTTTTCTGAACCGCATAAACACATTTCATTACACCAAATACACAAAATAATGTTCTTTTTAGCAACATCATATGACCCCTTTAACGACTGTCTGATGCCCCGCCCACTGTCCGTCAAACACCTCCCACCTCTTCCTTCATAAGGGTTACACACATTACAGTTCTTACATACTTACATTACATTACAGTATGACTTGATGAAGTTGATGAAGTAAATAGTTAAGATTGACTAGTGATACTAAAAGTAACAGTTACTCATCTGGGGGCGTATTACAGAAAGTTTCTTATCTTAGGTCTTAACTTAAGATGTGATATGTTAAATTAGGATTTTTCAGAAATTCGTATTACAGAAGCAAATCTTAACTTGATTTGGGATTCTTATCCTATCTTACAAAATTGTATCTTATCTCTAGTTAGGAAATCTTAAATTGCATTATCAAGCTCGACAATCCACTCTCAGGTCTGTTACCAAGCAACCAACACTGTGCAAGCTGCTGATGAGGTAAACAAAATAATAGAAGCTACTTCACTTTGAAAATCGCCTTTTGCAAAAATCCTTAAGGCAGTAATCACTTGCACTATAACCTGTAATGCTCCATGACACTTTGTTGGTCTCTGTAATGCTGGTTGCAGTTCCTGTGCTAACTGTAATATCATGTTGCGTGGCAGTCTGTAATTACTTATAAGTGTTTTGTCATCAAAATGTAACACATCTTCAGGGTCCTCCAAGAGTCTTTCTACCATTAAACATCTCCGTTCTACATTGTCAGTGAATAATAAATGTAATACCATTGTTGGACAGCACAATTGTAAGCGGTTTGTCCGTTATCTTTCAAATAATTTTGAAGTTAGGACAGCTGTGGGATTGTCCTAAAGTTAAGACAGTTTTTAGGATTTTTTGTCAAGTTAGGAGGTTTCTGTAATACCTCCTTCCTATCTGTAGTTAAGATAAGATAACACACGTAAAAACCGCTGTTCTGTAATAGCTTTTGTCCTAAATGTGGTCCTAACTGAAATTACCATGGTTACCAAACAGATAAGATAAGATTTGAAAGTTAGGATCTTTCTGTAATACGTCCCCTGATTTTTCAAAACCTAATCATATCACAGTTAAAATAAGACAGGCTTACTGGAACATGGGTAGTTGGGAAGTGACAAAATGTAAAACATTTCATATATATATGTAGCGAATCAGCTCATGAGGAAATATGAATAATTAATCATAACTAGTTATAATTAATTATAAATATTTAGATCCGCTGTAGATATTTACTTGACCTCTCAGGGTCAACTGTCTGTCAATTCTAAGAACGTTAATTTCCTAGTTAAGGGAAATAACTTTCTTACTGTACAACTCTACACAGAGCCTGTGGCATAAATCTGCATGATTAGGGACTCCAGTTATGAGCAAACAATGAACAACGTCAAGTGTGATACAAGTAAGACTTTATTAACTACATAAACACTTAAACTAGTCTAACATACTACACAAACACTTAAACTGGTCTAACATACACATAAACACTTAAACTGGTCTAACATACACATAAACACTTAAACTGGTCTAACATACACATAAACACTTAAACTGGTCTAACATACACATAAACACTTAAACTGGTCTAACATACACACATACACACACACACACACACACACACACGCATACAGTTGGTATAGGAAAGGGTTAAAGCTTAAGCAGTAAAGAGCAGAGAAATACAAATATGAAGTTATGGAACCATTTGATATTCAGCAGATTTACAGCCTGAAGGAAACATCAGATTCTTAGTTCAAACGCACACTTTGTAAAAAGGTGCATTATGATAATTAATGCATCAATTAATAAAACTAAGTTTGAATACTTGCACGTCTCGTCTGTCTGAAAGAGAAGCTTGATGCAATCTGAAGGTTCAAGTTGATCTTTGCTGAAGTTGGTTGATGAAAAAGAACCAGTTTGAGTCAGAGAATCTTGGTGAATGGAAAAGTCAAGGCCGAAGGCCTGGCACAAAACTTAGGTTGTCCTGGAGCGTTGTAGCTCACATTTTCATCTTCTCAGAATTCAACCAAACCACCGACTCTGGGGCGGGTCACTGATGTGAGGCCTTTAAGGTCGGAGAAGATTCACGCCTCTCAAGATGGGCTTGTCCAATGAGAAAGGCCGGAATCCCAAGTGGGAGTTTGGAAATACTGGGGAGTTTATGACCCTTTGTGTGGAAGCATGGTAATTTGCATATGGAACTTGAATCGAAATTACTAAAGATTCTCAGGACACTAATATATTGCCTATGTACCAACATATAATATACACGCTCGTTTAGATCATCAGAAGGCGAATTCATAGATACTAAACATGGTAGGATTACATATAGGCAAGATGACAGGACTGAGTGTTTCCATCATAAGCCTGCATAAAACATTATAAAATCTCAAAGACAACATACCTGAAGGACTGAAGGATATGTGTGTTCATTCAAAGAAAGGATTTCCTATGGATTAATTAGAAGAGTCCATTTCTACTGGCCCAGGACCCTTTCCTATGGAAATTGTAGTGAGAGGGGTAATTCTCAACATGCCATTAGGTCGTAAATGTATCTGGTCTAGCAAAGGTGTCATGGTTGCCATGGGGACCAGGGTCCTGGGCCTCGTTCACAGACATCTTGGCACCCAGTATGTTTATTGGGTGAGGGGTCTGTGAATGTTTGTTAATCTAATGAATAATTGATTTGTTAAATCAAATGAAAAATGGTGTGCCTGATTGGTCCAGATGCTATATATATAAAAGAATTTTCCTGTCCTGTCAGCCATTATACTGTGCTCGTAGCACGTGCTCTTCAATTGCACGCACAAATGCAGTATGGCTCGTTGTATATAATTCCACATTAAAGTGCAAATAAACCTACGAGCATGCAATGTCGTAGTTATGTTGTCAGTTAAGTCATTAAGTTACCAAAAAGGCGAT